ATCTTTGCCAACACAATATTATCTACACAAAATGTGCCTGATTCTCTTGTTTATAGAACATTTCATGTGCAATGATAGGAGTAAAAAATTGTACTTTGTCTGGTGCATTTCCCATCCATAATTCCAGAAAGTAATTCTTACCTGGAGGATCTTCCTCCAGTCTATTGTCAGTGACCATTTCTACTCTGTTTTGCTCTTCCGACTGGGCTTTACTTTGGGCCTTGTTTTTCTTTTTCCTCTTCTTTTTTCCCTTTGTCTGTTGGTCATTCTTTGTGCTTTTTTCAAGTTGTGTGAGTGGTGTGGTATCTGTTTGTTCCTGATTATCCTGAAGATATAAAATCAAAGGAGAATACTGTGTAGCTCTTTTGTATATTTTTTTTTCTGTGAGCCAAAATTTTAGAGAAAACCGAACAAAAGCCTGTATCCTTAAATACAAATAATTGTACATGTATGTGTAAAGACTGAAAAAATGCATGAGCCTTTGGGCCAGTGCAGTCTGCTGTCTTTGAAAAATTAAGGACAAATTGCTCTCAAAATGATTTTGATGACTTGATGAATTTTCATGTAGTTCTTGTGGAGAGTGTTACTGTTGTTTCTTTTTGCTTGTTTGTTTGTTTTTTTTTCATTTAAGGTACGACTAGCAGTTATCTTTAGTTTGTTTTGTTTCTGATGTCAAACACACCCAATCTAACTCAGGAGTCAAGTCATTCCATTTGAGTTGAATTGAGTTGATTGAACAACATTTTCAACCTTGCCTTGGAACAGGTTGAGGATTATTTATTAAGTGTCATGAAATTCGACTTTTAGTAGGACATTTCCACTTAACATGGGATGGTTCATTCAGATTTTCAGTATCACAAGATGACTTAACTGCCAATTAACTTCTGGTGGGACATGGTTTGATGCTACTCTGGTTTAAAGATTTAATGAATGTAACTGCAGAAGTTACAATTAATAGACCCAACATTTTGACACTCCTATCTAGTGCCTTCATCAGGGGTGATCTAAACGCTGCAACAAAAGGTCCTGTTATACCATCCCTAATTAGCTACCTTTTTTTCTGACAAGGTGTAAATAGGTGTCAGGAAGTAAGCTGCCATCATCATTAAAGGAGCGTGGGTGGAGTTAATATGCCAGGCTTCCGAACAAAGGCGCTGGTGGTAACGCCGATTAGTGGTGATAATTTTAGAATTATCCCCCCAATTGTATGGTTATTTAGGTATGTGTGCTCCAATAAAGCTGAATTTTCTTTTTTGCAAAAGAAAGCTG